TTTTTGTGTTCCCTGAGGTTATTCAAGTTTATATTAACTTCCCGTCTGTGGACGGTTATCATTTTTTATTAGAAGCAAACTACTTTTTTGTCGAGAATAATTTAAAGAGCTATGATAAAACCCATCATAAAAGTTAACTCTAAACTGTTTATTTAAGACAACTAAACAATGATTCCAATGTATACTTATTTTACAGACTTTATGAAAATAAATCATGAGCTTACCAGAGAGTTAAGGGTAGGTTGTGGTTGTTTTAGCAATTGCATGTTTGGGATTTGCCAGTGATTAGTGTTAGGGAGAGCACATGGGGCTTGGCGACTACATAGGGCAGACCCAGTCTAACTAGTGTATTTATAAAACCAAACACTAAATATTATTATCATTTGATTCTGATCAATCAGCTCGAATGAAGGGTTGAATCAAATAAACATAATTTATAATTTACCACTCTTTCATCTATTTTATATGTGTTTTATTTAAGCAACGTTGTAAAAAGTCAAGAAATAATTTGCAATAAAAATTACCATCGAAAACGCAGCATTATTTCGATGTTCCGCCATTTTACGATTAGTCTGAATCAAGTGGAACTCTGGGTGTTATTTTATTATTTTTATTTTTTTCACAAATATTTGTTAGCCTATGTAGGTATTCAAGTTACTAACATGTTTGATAAATCTGGCTTAATTATTTCAAAATAATAACACCTTCGTGGGTGTTAATTTCTAGGAATTATTGTTTACTGTACTAGGACAATATTGTAGTTTAATTCAATACCCCCGCCGCAGCAAACCTGCAGACTAAGCGAATTTCCATTTGACTGATTGGATTTACACTGAAATGTCTACTTAAAAATATAACATTTATTCTCTATTTAAATAGAATTAGTTTAACTAGTACTTAGGTTTGCTGCATCAGGGAGGGTAAAACTGTTTTTTTTTTTGTAAAACGTTAATAGTTAGTAAGAAATAAAAACATTTTCCAAATTTGATCAAAATATGTTCATAAACAAGCAAACTACAACAATTTACTTATTCTCCATAAGAATAACATGGGAATTTTAAATTTACAATTTTTTGGAATTTTCTCCGTAACCATTTGGCGCATAATAACGCTTCAATATACTAAATTATTTGTTTTTTAAGCTCTACAAAATGGTTTGGAAAGAAATTGCTAAATTTTATGTTTTTTGGGTCAAAAATGGGAAAAACCTATTTTTACCCCATAAAACCCCCCGTAAACCCCCGTTCCCATGGTCCGATCATGCTGGATCGCGAACTCGTTCGAATAAACGTAGGTTTACACGTTTGTACCAAATTTCATCAAAATCGGATCATTTTTGCTCGAGTTATCGTGCTAACGGACACACACACATATATATATATATATATATATATATATATATATATATATATATATAAATATATATATATATATGACTTTGAAAGGATGGTGTTTTTGGCCTCTAGGGACCTCAAAATGAAAAAAAAAATCGATCCCGCGTCCAGGTCTTACCATGAGTACTACGGTAATAGCTTATTCCCTTTATGGGAGATTCGCTAAAATTCAACAAAAACCTTAATCAATGGCAACAATGTGAATAAAACGTTTATGTTTTATTGCAAATTACTGACAAAACATTCAAATTGAAAAAATCATGACACATGCACCTATACTGTATTCCGAACTAAAATTAAATTTCCTTTTTACATAGAAAATTCTAATACTACGGTATCATGTAAGCTCAATTAATAAAGCTTGGCATGGGTTTGGTCTGTACATCTGGTGGGGTGTGCGGTAGTTAACATAACTTTACCCAATTGACTTTTTAAAATATTGGGCCAGGAACCTAATTTGTGCGGTAAGTGTGCGCATTATTTAATTCGCTGACTAACCATGAAGAGAAGCAACACTTCTCTAAAAGAAGCAAAGATTTAGTGATATCAAAGTGATATAAAATTCAGGACAAAATAAATTTCTGATTAACAAGAATGTAGTTTTATTATTATCTTATCAGTTTATTTAGTTTTTTTCCCAGATATTGAATAATTTATTGTAGATGGCAAACAGAAAATGTAACTGCCTTGAAAGAACAGAGTCGGTTAGCCTCTTGGAAATCCTTCTTTGTTCTGTTTGTGTTGGAAAATTAAATTACAACAGAGTAAATTAGATGAAGGAGGGAAATCGCTCTCCTAGGAAATGTCTCTGAACAGAGTTTTTGAAATGGATTTAAATTTTAATTCAATAAGTGTTTACAAAATTAAATACCGCAGTACCGCTTATTTTTTATGTTGTTTGAAAATGTATTACGTGGTTGTTGTTACGCTTAACTTAAAATTCTTACATTTCAGTTCTCGATTGTGCAGTATTGTTCAAACATTAAATATTCTGAATTTAATATGGGCTAAAATTAAAAATATCGACGTGCAACAGTTTGGGAGTAATATAGGACAAACCACCGGATGTTCTGTAATCACACACAATTTTGGTTTCAACCTCATATAAATATTATAACGTCAAAACTTAAAACCCCGTAAACCCTCCAAAAAATACACCACTACTCTGTCATTTCAATTTTAATTTCAGAAAGGCTATTAAAAGTAAAATAACACCATGTTGGGGTTTTCACTGATAGTTTTAAGTAGATAGCAAACTTATGACGAAGCTTTGTAGAGGTATTGAACACGCCCACTTTAAGAAAATTAACCTCCAGTTACCACCAACGATATATTGTGCAAACCAAATTAGTATGTTCCCTAATCCCTATATATGTCTATCTCAGATTTGTGCATAATAGCTCCCAAAGGGACATGGGGGAGAGGATTATGGATAGATTTGTTTACATCTGATACGCACGAGGGGTAAGAGGGCGGTGTCTGTGTATTAGTTAGAAATGTAGAAGCTGATAAGGGATATGAGCAATCTAAACTATACAAACAATTGTTACACTAAGCCTTAACACTAAATTTAAAACATCTTTGGCTCAATGACGAATTGATGCATGTTGTATATTGAATGAAATACATATGCAGTCCAATTTGTATGTGAGTTGTATAGGAATAATGTAATACGTAGGTATCTAAAATGTTGGTAAGGAATAATTTAAAATGGTTAGTAACACATACGATACGATGTCAATAAAGTGTATGTAGTAATTATTTTCGAAGCAAAGATTAAGCTTATTGGACTATGCTTGCCCATTTAATATATTACTAAATTGATCATTTACTTTTGAATTTATCTATTAATTTAGTCGTTTACTAAATTTATTCTATTATTATAATCAATAATTGTTTGATTGAGGGGGGGAGTGTAGGAGTTTTGCCAACGGGTATCAGGTATATACGGTCCCCATCCGCAAATTCCTCATACTGCGGAGTTTTGCCATCGGTTGGGGGCGAGCGAGAGAGAGATTACAAGTGACCGTGAGGGTGGCTTCCGCTAGGGGTGGACAAACCAGACAGGATGCTGATTAACCTGCCTAATACCTAATCTAATACATAACCTAACCTAACCTAACCCAACCCAACCCAACCTAACCTAACCTAACCCAACCTAACCTAACCTAACATAACATAATTTCATACATTTCCTCCCACTGCGACAAGCACTGAAGCGCAACTGCATTCCTATGTTCCCTGCATCACCCTGGTCGTCAACCCCAAGCGTAGACAACCCTGACAATCGCTCTCTTTCTCCCGCCCCCACCGTTGGCAAATCTCCGCACCAAGAGGTGGCCGACGGCATCCCCCCATCTACCTGACACCCGTTGGCAAAACTCCGGTTCCCGAGGGGGAGTAACCTAATGTTACTGTGGACACCACCTAGGTGCGTATTTCAGCCCAAAATATGAGTGAAGTAGGAGTGTTAAATGGAGTGATATGATCTGTGTACGGTTGTTGCTGACTAAAGATCATTTATTTAAAGTCCAATGATTAGGAACAGCTTTATCCAGTTTTGAACCACCAAACTACTAACTTTTAAGATCGATACGGCAACCTTTAAAAACCCGTCTTTTATAAATAGGCCTACGGTGGGCCCGGACAAGAGGTTTTAGGAATTACCTTTTTGGTTGTTGTTGCCTTGAAGTTCTAGGAATGTTAAGTTGAAGTTTTAGGAATGTTAATGTTGGGGGCGCAAGGAAGAGAAAAATTCCCTTCAAAGTACAGTAGGTGGAGAGGGTCGCACTTATATCTCGGGCCCATAGCGCATCGTGCATCATGCAAACCCCTTTTGATTTGTAGGCGAGCTCTAACGCGACCTTCATTGGAAGCGGAATTTGACAGTCTGAGCGCGGGTCTGCCGGGGACAAACGGAACAGACACGTGTGGTACTGTGTCCCCTCGTGTCCCCTTCTAACACTGGCAACGATTGTAGTACCGGGAGGGAGCAATGGGTATGCTATGAGCTATGAGCTTGTTGGCCTGGCCTGAGGAAGATAGGCCCACATCCTTCTGGCTTGGGTTGCAGATCACTAGCTGTAAGAAGAGCTTATAACTTGACAGCATATAGTTGATTGTCTTCAAAAATGGACATACTCGATGAAAATGTAGCACCTAATTTATAAAGTCTACCTTGAGTTTAGTTTGCGGCAGATAAATTGGTAAAGGGTAGATCATGGTATCGCCATGTCTATATGAAGTTGAAATATCAACCGGATAGGTGAATTATAGTAAGCTATAAAGATATATATTTCTTTGTAGCTAGCTTAGCACCCAGACTAAGTTAATATATTCTAGGGTATTAAGCACCTGAGAATTCCTTACTTAAGTTTATATTGTGTAAACGTGATTATAAGATACGGCAAGTGATTATTTAATCACCCATACTTTACATACACCTAACAAGTTTAGTACTGTTTCTGTGATAAGAGTTACATGCCATTTAATACAGCCTGAATAGGCAGAGAAAAAGAGTCTGCTACAAAATGTCATATTGCTGTTTGCTGTTTACTTTTTAGGTTATGCCAAGCCCCAATTTGCAATAGTTTCCCTTCTCATTACTTATTAGCGTAATTTTATTGTTATTTTGTTGTTTTTAGTATAAATCTATGTGTATTTATTTAGCAATGTGTCAACTCCTCTAAAAGTGTTGTTTAACATCTAAACATGGTTATTAAACTTGATGAAGGTTCAGAACTTACCGAGCCTTTACTTTGGGGTGAATCTAATGATTGTCCCAGAAAACCTGAGAGACATGCCGAATTGATTAAAAAGATTAATGCAAAGAATGCAAAGTACGTAGCTTTCAGTCTAGTGTTGGGATTCATCTTGTATCACGGGATAATCCATCTAAGATATGGTAAGTTTGTCAACCTAATGTAGCTTACTAGTCTGTAGGCCTCTATCTCACCTTGTGTTGGGATATGCTAACTTCCACAGAACAGATGAAAGATTGAGTTATTTAAGAAAATACCCTATGGCTTATAATGCTCGTAACTTGCTCAAAACATGCAATAGGCCTAGGCCGAGATATAGGCCTAGGGTTACCATAATTTTTTGATCGTAGATTCAGATATCGGCCAAACCGGGGGTTATGAAATCCATAAACGATATGAGTAGCTTGCTCAAAGTTAAGGCTATTATTAGCTAGGCCTATCTGCCCAACTTGTTATTTTTGTATCACAATGTGTTATGTTAGATTAACTTACAATACAATTTTATCTATTAATTTTTCCTTTGGTTTATTCAGGAAGTGATTCTTGTAAATGGCTTCTATCAGACGGCAGATACAAAGGAGATATGGAGTGGCAACCATATGGCTGTATGATGCATCGATACAGCCAAACGTGAGTAATATTGTGTAGTGTTAAGTTTCTGGCTCAGTATCATTAATTACGTCTAACAGTAGGCCAGGTGATGGTATTTATCTTTCAAAGGTCGGTTGTATGTACATCAAAGTAAAGGCCTTAAAACCCCTTTATCAGTCAATCCCAAAGATACAGAACTTGAGGTATAAAACGATGCACAATTTAGCAAAGAGGGTTTTTCATAAGTTAAGTTATAGAAATATTTGCACCCTGGGCTATACAGTTTCATGCTTAAAAACAAAGGAATCCTTAGCTAAGTTATGACCTAGGGAAAGTTAAGGAAAGAATAACTTAACCACTTACCCTCTTACAGAAAACGAGCAGATCAATCAAATTTGAACCAGAATAACTTGCTTTTCTGTTTGGCTGGAACAAGATGAAATTATTAGGTTAATTTCCTGTCTATAATGCTGAATTCCTAATAAAAAATAGCAAATTTGAACAAGTGTGGTTAATAACAATGCAACTTAGGCCTAGTTTTTCAGCGTTTTAGTTCAAGCTAAGGAACGTCTGGATCCAGACACGCCAACCATAGCATAATCAATTAATTATGCTATGGTTGGCGTGCTAGTTATCGTAATCAATTAACTTATGCGCGTTTGGAGGTTTACAAGAAACATACTTTACTGTTCGTGAGTGCAACAACAGATCCATGAATGTTTTAAGCTATTTTTTAAAGTACCATACCAGCACGCAGATCATGAGTGTTCACCATTACACATTAAAACACGTTAACTTGTAATGCGTCACTCTAACCTATTTCAACCAGTCATAACTGTTGCGTTGTTTGACTAGGGACACTCGGCGATGCATGCGCTATCTTGCGTTCTGGGGGCGACACAACCACTTTGTGTTCATTGGAGACTCCAGGGTACACCAGATGTATCTGGCGTTCATAGACCATCTGACTGGCCACAAGAGTCAGCCGCAGACGACGCCTAGCAACCACAGTTTGTATGATGAACAACTGAGGCTCACGGTGGACTTCTTCTGGAGCCCTTCAGCATCGGACGTCATGGTCAACATGTTCCATCATTGGGCTGTGAGTACATGTCATTCTGTACAATGACTGTTTTATTTTGTTAGTACGGTATTTTAAACACTGGCTATGGCCAGTCTTGGCGACATACATGGTGACATACATTGAATTCTACATTGTGAAAAAAGACACACGGTTTTTGAGTTTTATCAACCATAAAACAGTGCGCAGGAGCTTTGTGTGTGGAATCGAAAACGCTCATGGATGCATTATTTTTTTATGTCACAGGCAGTCGGTTTGGTTGTGGCTTCTCCGTCTTATATTTGTAGTATGATTTAGAAAGTTTTTGGAATACAGTACATATTATCACTGGACTTCTAAGAACTGCAGTCTAGGGGTCACAAAAATCACTCAAGTTCTTAATGATAAAGTCACTGATTTTACAAGGGGATCATGAAAATCGCTGAAAAGTAACGTGTGCATTTAAGGTCCTGAAAGACCTTAAAACTAAAATGAACTAAAATCAAGTTTTTCAGACCTAACTTTTTTTGAACCTTGCTTTGAGCAATGATTAAACTCATAATGCAGAAGAATCATTGATAGAGAACATAATTTGGGAGCAGGCAACCAGTTCAAATAATTAAGACATAAAAGATTGTATGCCTGACTCGAGTCATTGAAAAGTATTGACTTATCTGAGTTTCAACATCGTCTTCCCGCTCCCCCATTAAAGTTACTGAGAAGTCACTGAAATTTAGTTGAAAAAATTTCTGCTAGATACCCTGACTATCCTATTCAAACCTAGCAATAATGTGGGCTTGTAGCCTCCAAGGGATGGTAACCTAGGAGGCTACAAACCCACATCATTTCTGCCGTTCAAATGTGAGTCAGTGACTCATTGAAGTGTTGTAGTTATGATTGAAAAATATCATCGCAAGTAGGCAGATTTTGCCATATTTGGCTATTTCTTAGACCATCTAGAAAAGGGAGTACGAACATTAGTTTATCGGTTCAGTGACAGTAATGTTGTGGTTACAGAAGGCAAACCCTCCTCCTAGTATGGTGGTGGCAGGCAGCGCTGCTTGGAGTACAAAATTCACCAATTCTACTGCAAAAGCTGTAGAAGAATACACGTTCAACCTCACTCGGCTTGTTACTGTAAGTAGCAAAATCTTACGATTTACTAAAAAAAATGTGCCACATCTGTTTCAAGCATAACAAAATTGCAATGCCGTTTAGTTTTCATTATCAGTGATAGTTGATGGTTTAGATTATTAGTTATTAGAACCATTTGACAACATTTTTATGTGGATCACTAAACAGTAGCAAGTATGTTAACCCTTAATTCGCAAAATTATGCTGATCAGGGATCATTCTACTACGAAATAATCAGTTACCATTTTTAAAAAGATTCACTGTGCAGACAAACCTCTTTAACCTCCCTTAATTTTTTCTGAGTTTGTGAAGTACATCTGTTGGTAATCAACTAATTACACATAAATCAACAGTTTTGTTCTTGCAGTACCCTTAGGAATATAACTCTAAACGTTGGCTTATTATTTACAATCATATCAAGACTTCAACACTGTCTACATAAAGTAAAAGTATCTACATAGTTTACTGTAGTTGAGCCAGACTACTGCACACCACTAATCAATTTTGAGTTGCCAGCGTAAATTTCTTGATGTAGCCTATCTATCGTTGAGAGATAGCCTGATCCAAATCCCTTTGATTGGTGGAGTGATTCTAACCCTCATTTGAAAACCATTTATTTGCCAGTCCACTCCCCCTCTTAATAAATGTTATCACGCTACACCTGTTGACATTTTAAATATACTTTGCGGTATGTTGTTACAGAGCATGAACACCATAGTAGAAAGCAAGGGACAGGTTTTTTGGGCACTGCAGGAACCTGTCATCACAGGAGACAACGACAGAGATGAGGAGGCCAACACCCAGATAGACTTGTACAACCGGGCAGCTATGGAGGTAGGTAAAACACTCACTAAGCCTTCGGAAGTTGCTGATCACATGCACTACAATGTTTACAGGTGATACAGCAGAGTTCAGCCAAGGTGTGGTCTAGATGTCGTCTGGTGGCTCAGACCAGACATCTGGACAAGTCCATCTATGTTCATGACACCCAGATGTTGCTTAACACCTACTGTAATGACCACATGCACTACAATGTTTACAGGTGATACAGCAGAGTTCAGCCAAGGTGTGGTCTAGCTGTCTTCTGGTGGCTCAGACCAGATATCTGGGCGAGTCCATCTATGTGCATGACACCCAGATGTTGCTTAACACCTACTGTAATGACCACATGAACTACAATGTTTACAGGTGATACAGCAGAGTTTAGCCGAGGTGTGGTCTAGCTGTCGTCTGCTGGCTCAGACCAGATATCTGGGCAAGTCCATCTATGTTCATGACACCCAGATGTTGCTTAACACCTACTGTAATGACCAAATGAACTACAATGTTTACAGGTGATACAGCAGAGTTCAGCCAAGGTGTGGTCTAGCTGTCTTCTGGTGGCTCAGACCAGATATCTGGGCGAGTCCATCTATGAGCATGACACCCAGATGTTGCTTAACACCTTCTGTAATGACCACATGAACTACAATGTTTACAGGTGATACAGCAGAGTTTAGCCGAGGTGTGGTCTAGCTGTCGTCTGCTGGCTCAGACCAGATATCTGGGCAAGTCCATCTATGTGCATGACACCCAGATGTTGCTTAACACCTACTGTAATGACCAAATGAACTACAATGTTTACAGGTGATACAGCAGAGTTCAGCCAAGGTGTGGTCTAGCTGTCGTCTGGTGGCTCAGACCAGATATCTGGGCAAGTCCATCTATGTTCATGACACCCAGATGTTGCTTAACACCTACTGTAATGACCACATGAACTACAATGTTTACAGGTGATACAGCAGAGTTCAGCCAAGGTGTGGTCTAGCTGTCGTCTGGTGGCTCAGACCAGATATCTGGGCAAGTAAATCTATGTTCATGACACCCAGATGTTGCTTAACACCTACTGTAATGACCACATGAACTACAATGTTTACAGGTGATACAGCAGAGTTCAGCCAAAGTGTGGTCTAGCTGTCGTCTGGTGGCTCAGACCAGATATCTGGGCAAGTAAATCTATGTTCATGACACCCAGATGTTGCTTAACACCTACTGTAATGACCACATGCACTACAATGTTTACAGGTGATACAGCAGAGTTCAGCCAAGGTGTGGTCTAGCTGTCGTCTGGTGGCTCAGACCAGATATCTGGGCAAGTCCATCTATGTTCATGACGCCCAGATGTTGCTCAATGTCTACTGTAATGACCACATGAACTACAAAGATTACAGGTGATACAGCAGAGTTCAGCCAAGATGTGGTCTAGCTGTCGTCTGGTGGCTCAGACCAGATATCTGGGCAAGTCCATCTATGTGCATGACACCCAGATGTTGCTTAACACCTACTGTAATGACCACATGAACTACAACATTTACAGGTGATACAGCAGAGTTCAGCCAAGGTGTGGTCTAGCTGTCGTCTGGTGGCTCAGACCAGATATCTGGGCAAGTCCATCTATGTTCATGACGCCCAGATGTTGCTCAATGTCTACTGTAATGACCACATGAACTACAATGTTTACAGGTGATACAGCAGAGTTCAGCCAAGGTGTGGTCTAGCTGTCGTCTGGTGGCTCAGACCAGATATCTGGGCAAGTCCATCTATGTTCATGACACCCAGATGTTGCTTAACACCTACTGTAATGACCACATGAACTACAATGATGGCACGTGCTGCAGCAGTGCTGAACCTCATACATCTCTGCAAGTTGTCACTGCTGCTGTTTTTGGTGTTTGGTACGTTGTTAGACCTTATTGTCCTTAGGTCTATTATGTTTTACTTTTAAGGTTTTTTGTGAATAGTTTTAGCTTCATTTTATAATAGAACTAGCTGTACCCGCGGGCTTTGCCCCGTTTAACTTCATAAGTATTCGCATGACTCAATCACGTCCTGGTTGAAGTTCACTCGCTACGCTCACTCACCTTTAGGTTGGAACTCGTTCGCTGAGCTCACTTGCCTTCAGGTTAGCTCGTTCGCTACGCTAACTCGCCTCCAGGTTGAAGTTCGTTCGCTACGCTCACTCACCTTTTGGTTGCAAATTAGCTGTTGTCATAAATAAAAAAAATAATAATAATGCTGCACCCTGTTGGTAATCCTTGTAACTTTAATGCTATTGAACACCATAGAACAGAACCAATTTGTTTAATTGAAACAGCTGTTAAGATTCATTAATTCCTTTTAAATATGAAAAATCATAAGGTTAACATGGGAAACTCCAGAGCCACTGGGGCGGAGCCCGAAAGCCCAATCAGAATAAAAACTACTTAGTTTTCCTATTTAATGCCCAAAGAATCGGTGAACCGAATTTCAGCCTCCTAGGTAAATGGGAAGTGGGAGAATTAGTGATGAGTGAGTGAGTCAGTGAGGGCTTTGCCTTTTATATATTTAGATTAAACAATAATCGTTTGACTAAATTTTTTTTTCTTCATTAAAATTGCTATTTGTTATTGCAATTATTAACAGCACAACCACAATTCCGCTGTAAAGAATGAACAGTCATTTGGGAGGCGTTGTTTGTACAAGAATGTGCATGGATTAGCGTCTGACTGTTGCCATTAGACTTAATGTATCCTTACTTTCTGAATAGCAATTGTATTTCAAGTCAGATAAACACATGTGTCAATTTTAGTCTAAATTGAACGTATTGTTAATTATTTGATTTTACACCCCATGTTGTTGTACAGTTTGGTGCTGGCGTGTGCTATGACAGTGAAGCGTAAACTACAAGGTTCCAGAGCTGACCCACCCTCCCCTGTCTATGTGCTGAGTACCAACTTGGCCAAGCTGGGACTGATCATGGCCTACTTCTACCTCTGTGATCGGTGAGTCAACTAAAACATTTACTAGGACCTTATCAGATTTTTTCCGAGGCAGAAAAAACAGACCTTTAAGAGTAAGGTATTTAGGCCTACACTCAATGGTATTCTTGTATGCCCCTATGTCTTCACAAATATGTACGTTGTGCCGTTGTACCAATAAAACATATTATTGCTGTCCTCTGTAAAACTGACTACAGTACTTAAACATGTATTTCATAAACTTCTTTACCATTTGTACTGTTACCTGATGAAAATGCCCGAGCTGTTACAATGATGCTTTTATCAAAGCTATTGAGATGAAAATGTTTTCTGTGCAGGACGAATTTCTTCATGAAGGAAAACAAGTATTACTCCCCTGTTAGCTTCTGGTTGCCCATTGGCTATGTGTTTGCTCTTGGTCTCTTCTTTACTGAAGATTCAAGATATACAAAAGTGCTCCACAGAGACCAAACAGACGAATGGAAAGGTGGGTTTCACTTAGCATATTTTTAACTTGACATGTATTTTTTTGTGTGCCAAAATGTTGATCAGAGTATTGGTATACACATTTTATAAAAAAAACATACAATTTTTAAACCGTTTTGCAAATATTAAAGGCTTGATTTGGTATTTGAGCTTAAAACAAAACAAATAAAATTAGTTGGTCGGGTAAGATAAGATTCAAGTGTTGTTGGAGGTACTAAACTGCTGGGAAAGTGCTCCTGCTACAAAGTATTGTTAGCTTGAGGGTAAAAGTTGTCCAAAAGAATTATGTGAAAATGGTTAAGGTAAAATAGCAGAGTCTAAATAGGTAGAGAAAACCCTGTTCAAAATTGTCTGAATAAATTCCCTAATAATCCATTCGTGGTGCAAGGTTTTAGGTCCCTCTTAGTCATTATTTGATGTAGCATGAAGGTATTAGGTTAATTTTATGTTCACTTTAATGAAGCTTAAGTGTCGAACCAAAAGATTCTAAAAAAAACCCCTTAGAGCATCACATTATCTTGTAGACTCTGATTCTTGGCCATCTTTTTTGCTATAGTTTTCCCTGTTACTTCTGGAAATTAAAAGTATGTTGAGTTGTAACAAAGGATATTAAAGACCTAGGGTTTTCCAGGCTGGATGATTCTGGTCTATCTCATCTACAATATGACCGGAGCCTCTACAAACCTGCAGATCTACAACCACATCAGAGTCCTCATATCAGCTTATTTGTTCATCAGCGGCTACGGACACTTCTACTATTTGTGGCACAGAAACGATGCTGGAATTGTTAGGTTCTTTCAGGTGAGGTTTCCATATATATTTCTGGGTTACCACAGTAAGGATTTTTATTCCTTGCCTTGTGTGTTTGCGTAATAGAAATCCAATCTAATCTAAGCCAGGTTTAAGGTGGGCAATAAATGCAACAATGCGTCAGAGAACTGTAGCAAAAGTGCAGTTAGAAATAAGTCGTCATCACCTGCGATAGCTGTAAAATCCTGAATATCTTCTGCAATAGCCTACAAATAATGATCATCTCACGCATTTGCGTACAATGTTTTATTGTAAGTTTTTGATTGCACAAAATGCAACAAATTGAGGTGGCTCAGTCGGTAGCGCCACGCATTTTGGACCCAAGGCAGCAATGTTGTGGGTTCGGATCTTGGTACCACTTTTATCAGTACTGTATCGGCTCACCACTTGCTTTGCTGGATACGTTCCATACACAAGTCCAGAGCCTTTGATGCAAGGTTAAATGAGGAAGACACTCTTTTTACCAGGATCCAAAAAAAAGGAACTGCAGCTTTAACCCAGCTGTGAATGTTTTTCTGACAAGTGTTGTTGTTCCCAGGTGTTGTTCCGCCTCAACATGCTGGTAGTGGTGCTATGCCTCTGTATGAACCGACCGTACCAGTTCTACCAGTTTGTGCCAGTCGTGTCGTTCTGGTTCACCCTGCTCTACCTGGTGTTGATCGCTCCACCCAGGGTCACGCAGGCCTCGTGTGAACACAACCACCTCCACTACCTCTACCTGGTGCTCAAGTTTGTCGGACTTTTCAGCTTCATTATCATGTTATACATGAGCGAGGTGAGCGTTTGCAAAATTAATGTATGTAAAAACAAAAACTCCATTTATACTCAGGATAATGTTGTGAGCAGATAGGAGGGTGATTAAATTGCTCTAACAAAAGTATCTGATGTTTGGGTGTCACTAGCAGCATAGCGTGTTTGGCCTCTGGGGACATCAAAATGAAAATTCAAAGCAGTCTCGGGTCTAGTTCTTCCTGTACTGCCTACGGTAATAACTTCTTCCCTATAGGGAAATTTGCCAGAATAGAACTTGCTACCATCATACTCATGTAAAAACCCTTTCACAAAGAATTATCCAACAACAGCTCTGTGTCTGCGTATATTTTTTCTTTTCACTTATTTGATTTCCTTGACAGGTATTTTTTGACAAAGTATTTGTGACGAGACCGTGGAAGGCGCTGTTTGTCACTACTGATGATGACATCCACGATTGGTGGTTCCGATGGAAGCTGGACAGATACAGGTAACCTTAGAAACATTGTTAGTCCGGAAATACCAAACTAACTCTAAACTACTTTTTACTTCCCCCCCCCCCCCTCTTTATGGAAAAAATGTTTTTTTAATCTTTCAGTTTGAGTTTTGGGTGGAAATATCCGTTTTGGGTCCCCCTGAACCCAAAACAATTTTTTTTTAATTCTGTGTGGGTGTGTACAGAGCTGCTGATTTACACCTGTGGTAAAATTTTATGAAAATGGATATGTAAGTAGAGTACTAATCGATTGTGTATCCAGGCTTTATTTTTCAGTACTTTTACATGCTGAATTACCCATAAAACCCCATAAAATAATGTAAAACCAAGATATTTAAAAAGACGGTTGATTAAAATTTAGTATGTTTCCTTTTAGCTAATCCCTACTTGAAACAGGTGATAAATGTCAATATTTAGTTATTTACGCACGGTCACTACGGCATTATCTTGCTGTAGTTAATAATGGTAACAGCACATAAATCGGCTTCACACCACTGAAATCATCACACCAGAAATATGAATCGGAGCCTCCCTCAAACCTACTCCCCATGAAAAAAGGTCTTGAACTTGTTTGAATAATGAGAAGGGGAGAATACCGTGCCAAAGAAGATTGAAAACTTTTGTTAATAGATGCTCAGCACAGTGCTAATCTCAACCGGCCAATTTATGATTTACACATTTTAATTTCCATTTCAAAATTTACTCTAAAAATGTTATTATTAATACTTTATTGTTATCATTTTATCCAAATTAAATAAACAATTTGAATCATACCTATTCCACTATTATAACCCTTGTGTTACATGGAAAATGTTAACAGATGTAATCTCTTTAATTGACCACCTCTGTTGCAGCACTTCCTACGGAGCAGTGTTTGGCATGCTGTTGCTGGTAGCGCAGAGTTTCAGCCTAGTAGATGACAACAACCACAGCAACCTGTTCACTTCTCGTATTGCGCTTTGTTCCGTGTTCCTCGCCTTTGTCGGCATCGGCTGCTCCACCACGTTTGATCTCCTCTGTCAGTCCAAGGCGGAGTGCAACGAAGTACATTCCTACACTGTCGCCATCCCTGTGAGTATCTCAGCTGTCACAGCATGACCAGTTGTTGCGTTAAATTGAATCATCAGGAATCAAAGTAAGGATAAAGTGCTGCCGGAACAAGATCCTGCCTACATGTGTTTGAGTTTCTTATTTGTAAAGGGGAAGAGTGGTCAATCCCAGATCTAAACAACCTGTACCTTACCTCATAAAAATATAAAATGGTTTTTTTTATGGAGTAGGGTAGAAAATGTTTCAATAAATTCACACACTTTGGTAATTCACTGAGCTTTGGTCAGGAAAGGATAAATAAATATTACGCAGTTTGACGGATGTAGATTTTATTACTAATTGCTATACAAGACAAACAAATTCGATTAACATTCAGGGCACCCCGTTTTGTTTATTTAATACTTTTCCACAGTATTGACAGTAAATTAAACATGTTCCCATAAACTATCCATTTAGACCAGTCATACTGTCAACAACAGGACCAAACGGAGATATCCTGTCTTTAAAGAGACAGATGGCTTATGTGACTATACAACATCAATAATCAATGTAAAATTTTTATGCACACGTAAATAGATTAACAATCTTGTAAATTATTATAGTAGAAGTGTAAATATATAAAAGCATTGAAAGAAGACCTTTTGCATCCACACATGTTTCAAAGTCGCTCATCGTATATATGCAATGTTCAGATTGTGAGTTACATCTTCCTGCGTAATGTGTCGGGCATCCTGCGAACGAGATACTCCAGCTTCTTCGCGTGGTTCGGACGACTGTCGCTGGAGCTGATGGTGACTCCGTATCACGTGTGGTTGGCCGCAGACAATCACGGGGTGCTGGTGCTGCTACCTGGCTATCCTGTACTCAACGTGTTGGTATCTTGCTACATCATGGTGTGCATAACGCATGAGGTCTGTATAAAGTTCCCTAAATTGTCAGTAGCATATACTTTAGTCCTGTGTTTTTTTATTACTGTAGGCCTACTTGTGGTTTTCTAATCTATGGAACTGTCCAAGACTTAGATCTATCGTCAACCTTTTGTTTAGTTTGTTAGCATCATTAATTTACAGCCCAATGACAAATAGAATTGGGATCCAGAATCAATGGTGATCAATATTGAACTCCGCTTCATAATTTAGGCCTATCTTTTAGATTTCTTTACCTATAACTGTGTTTTAAACTATTTTTTTTTAACCTTGCATTTTCCTGTCCACATACGCTACACACCTGTGCGTGGAATGTTTCCAGCAAAGCAAGGGGTGAACAGGTACAGAACAAGAGTGATATGTACAGATAAAAAATAGTGGCATGTGCCACAATCGGAACCCATGACATTGCTGCCTTGGGCCCACTGAACCACTGACTCACCCACATTGTTTACTTACTTCACTGCACTAGTGTGGTAAAGTAACGGACCAATGGTGTTAAAGATTCAGAGATGTGAAATAAAATTGTAATGCTTCAAACGCCAACTTATGAGCTGGTAATGACCAACTAGCGATCCTGGCGCAAGTAATCGTGCGCAATCTAGACCTAGGAGAAGAACCATTTTTATTGATCTTTTTTATTTGGCATTTTCTGGTTTCTTGGTTTTGTTGTTAAAGGTGGAGATGGTTAAAGGCCTAATTAAGTTCGCAGTTTACGAGCTGTGTTTGCAGTTTTTTTTTGTGAAAGTCAATAAAAGATTCTCTTTTGACTAAATAGATGATAGCCTAAATGATCAACCAAAGCCCCTTGTTCCCATCACCACCTGTGAAGCCTGGGACTTATTTTCCAGGCCGATTTCCCAGGAATAATCTTCTTTCTTCTCGGGCTTTGGCCACACAACTCAATCCTCGTCCAGACACAATATGTGTCAGAAACCGTAAGGGCATGGCTCCCTTCCTCTTTCTGCCCTGAGCGATAGGGATCATTGGGATTCACTCTAACCTTTCACCTCACCTTCATGGGGAAGTTTTCATTCTTTTCTTTCTTTGTTTTTGTTTGTTTCTTTTTTCAATTTAAAAGCCTGTGCGTATCCTTGGCTGCCTATTTCTCTATCTACTTCCCTAAACGTCTCAATCGTTTCCTTGTCCCTCATAAAGTCTTACTTTCTCATCTCCAGATCTTTCCTATCCAAGACTTCTTCCTGTTCTTTTCTATTTAAACCCAACACGGAAGGGTGCTTGCTGTAGTATTATTTGTATTTTGTTTGAATCTACCAGTTAAAGTTAGTCGGCCTCCTCCTATTGGCCGTCCTGCTTTACGTCTTATAGTCTCCATTATGTTGAACGTTTTTTTGGTTATGTTATGATTAGGCTATGTGCAAATAAAAACTGGCTTAAAACTTTCTTAAAACAGTGAAACAATCTTTTCAACTAATCTAATAAATCCTTATAGCACATTTCTCCAATTTTAGTATAACCAGCTGTTTCAAATATTAGTGACAATTTCAAAGTATTCATCTGTTCAAATGTAAACAAACATTTTCTCCCTAAGAATAACATGAGAACTTTTAAGGCCACTGGGGCAGAGCCCTGATGGAATTCCAAAGTTTTTTTTTGTTTGATGGATGGCAAAACTACATGTTAAGACCTTTCTAATGACACCTTGGACATGGTGATTGGTAGCACCACCACTCCAAAACAATTATGACAAAAATATGCCTAGTGTATTAAATATATAGATGTAATTGTTGATTGGCCAACTTCCGTCGGATAATTCTCATTCTATCCTTTAACAAAGATGAACTAAACGGTATGCTAAGCTAACCAAAATTAGCAGGAAGGTTTGTTAAAAGATTTTGAAAATGTCAGATAGTTCTGGTGAAATAGACGACATAAAAGTATGGGCTCAAACAGTTTGTGGTGATCTTTTACCAAAGGAAAAGAAAGTTTGTTCTAAATCAAAGAAGCGTTACAATGAATTTGGAAAGCTTAATTTGAGGTTTATCAGATTTGTTCTTGGAGTACAAGGATTATCTAAATTGAAAAAAGTTCATCCTGGCACAAGATACAAAAAATCACTTTGTACACTTTTACTAGAGTTTTTTTTCTACCGAGGAAGAAATAAGCCTGTAAGTACTTCTTGAAATATCAGTAACTTTTCTTTTGCCTTGGTAGAGTTTGTTCAATGTAGGTCAGACAAAAACTTGTAATTTGTGTGTTGTCGACAGCTCCACACCATCACCAGAAGACTGTTGCCCTTTGCTGTTCCCAATGACTGGAGACTTGTGTTGCGCAATGTCGGACTCTTCCTCATGGTTCTCATCCCCATTGGAATACACGACGGAATGTTCTAGTCAAGGTAATAAAAAAACTTACGTAACTTGTTCATGCTTAACTTCTACATTGGCTTTTTTATCAACTTTCACATTACAGTAGACCCCCTCTTAACCGACCGGACCTAGGTCGGATTACTCAAAAGGTTGGTTAAAACGGACAATCCCTAAAAAAAAATAAAAACATAACATGATTAATTGCTGTTCATTTGGAATTGTATAAGCAATATTTTGAAGTCGTACTTGCACTATTTATAAAATAAACCACATTTATCTCATTTTTTGTATTGATAGAAAAGTCACAAATAAACACAAAATATGGTTACGTCAAATACTTTCAGTGGAATAAATTATAGTTGTTGGCAAGAGTCAATAAAAATTCTTATTTTAATAACTTAAGTGGCTGTCAAATCTATCGTAATACAATACAGAACATTTTGTCAAAACTAAAGACACAAGCAACCATTTTGTTACGAGACAAGGATGTTTATTTATAGCCTCTTACTGGAGGCTCGAGTCACAAAAACTATCTTGACCTTAAAGTTGTTAACCCCCCTTCCCTTCCTTCAAGTTGTGTTGTTTGTTTACTCTAGCAATAGGATAATCAGTTATAAAAATCGTAACACACTTTACAATTTTATAAATTTACCGCACATAACAAATCAGATGTGCTCGCGCTACGAACAATGATGACAAACTGGCAATATGGAATTTTTTTGGGATAGGCCTAAATATAAAATGTTTTATCTTAGTCACATCCTGTGGAGATAAGGGTATGGTTCCCATCACCGATCGTGGGAGCGGAAATGCCGAGATTCATAGAAAGCGGCGGTTTAACCGAACTGCTCTCAAAGCAAGGTTGGTTAAAAAAACTGTAATATTTTACGATCAAGGGTGGATAATCCGATTATCGGTTAATGCCAGGTCATTTAAGAGGGGTCTACTTACTTTAGGCTCAACCTTAGGGTGGCGGTGGTGATTTGGCAGATTTGAACCTGGCACCTCAGGGAGTATCTACAGTCCTGTAGTCATGTGCTCTACCACTAGATTAGTTCGCTCCCCTCTACATTTAGATTACACCATGAGAAAATAGACTAGGAGAAACTAATACTAATTTTTTAATAGGAACGGGTACGCATGTATCATCTATTTAATCGCGTCAAAATTTGCTTGACTGCCGACCGTTTTCAGACACAGTGTTTGGACACATTGCTTGAGAGACAAAGGAAATCATGAATTTAAGAATATGCAAGCAAAATTTTTCATTGGACACTTTTATTCTAAAGTATTTATTTAGCTATCTAAGGTATTGGTATTACTGAGAACATTTTCCATAACCACTAGTAAATAGCTTATTCCCTATATGGAAATTCGCTAAAATCAGGATCCCCCCAGTGATCGAGATCTATTTGGGGTCTTCATATTTAGAGTAGGCTTATTTATTTTGTACTTTAATATATCAATCAATTAAAGTATAAAAACAGTTTGATTGGGGTCTGTTGTAATTTAGATAATACGATAAGTAGAATAATCAAACGTCAGTTAATTTTGATTCAGCACGGTCTAAGGGTACAAAAATAATTCGTTGATAATTTTTTTTTGTAAATTACCACCTAAGTATCTTGTAAAATTATGCTAACCTTGTCATACATTTTCTTATCTTCTCTTACTTGCCTTCTTATGAACTAAACCTCTTCTTATATTAATAAGGAAGGTTAACCTTCTTAGATTAATGTGTTCCAGATGACTCGTGTTCCCAGAACATAAAACCAAATACATGCGCCAGGTAGAAGTATTGACAGCTTGGCAACAGATCTCACGAAATAGGCAGTAACGCCTTATTGACTTACCGTCCAGTTGCGGCTTGGTATTTGCTGTGTATTTGTCTTAATAAGTTGTACGCTTGTATTTTAGGAAAATTCTGGCAAATTATGCCTTGTATTTCGCAAGATTTGAGTGTTCATGACTTATTTGCCCTTTTCCATCTCCCAAGAGCGTCAAGACATATAGTAGCTAAGCTAAAAATCTACCTACATGAAGTAGATAAGATAGATCCGATTGTTTTTTTTTTATTCAATCAATTGGCGAATTAGAAAATGGTGTTCAGTATTTTTCTCAAAACAGAAACTACTTCAAATGACTCTTTATTTATAAAAAATTACATTTCAAAAAGGCTGAATAGGCATACTCCTTTAATTATGCATTTGCTTTAATTATGCATGCTTACCCCATGGGTCTCAGGTCTGTGTTAAGCAATTAATGAGTTGGATTGGTAAAAACTTTTAACACATTAATCAAAACAATGTTATTGTCTTACTATGCCTTCTGATAAGACCTAAACCCGGGACCTATTTACTTTTACCACGTTTTGATGTCCCCAGAGGCCAAAGACACTATCCATTCAAATTCATATATGTGTCTGTTAGCATGATAACTCTAGTAAAAATCATCCAATTTTTCATTCATTGAAAAGGTGTAAACCTGCATTATTTTATTCTAACAAGTTCGCAAACCAGCATGTTCGGACTATAGGAACAGAGTTTTAGGGAGCAAGAGTTGGTTTTTCCCATTTTTGACCCCTGAAACATAAAGTTTTGCAACTATTTAGTAGAGCTAAAAAACCAAACAATATAGTAGGCCTACATTAAACCATTGTTGTATGCCTAGTAGTAACAGAGAAAATTAAAAAAAACTGTAAATAAAAATTTCTGATGTTATTTTGATTGAGACTAAATAAATTCACGGGGATCTCGAGTAGTCCTTAATCCTATCCCTTACTGGTATAATCCTAGAGCCAAGCCAAGAAAGAAATCTCTTTTACCTTTTAATGTTAAGTAAGGTAGATGATAGGGTAAACTGAATTCAAGTTAGTAAGCAGAGTTACATTATTGCTCACCACTGAAAAAGCTGTCCATGTATTTTACGTTAAAGCAATTATATTATGTACATTCAAAATTTTTTATGTTATAATTTACACGTATATCCATGTTTGATGTGTATCTTTGTTAATGTGAGTTTTAAACACCTAGGATCACAAGCTAAGCAAGGTCTAGAAGAACTTGAAACCGTTGTATAATTTGAAATTGTTTAGAAGTGTTTAACTATACCAAATGAATACAGAAGTTTAAAATGTTATTTTTTACAAGGTCATTGTAAGAACACTTTGTTCTCCAGTTATCATATCATAAAATGAGTTGTTTGTACAACCCTAGTCTTTCCAATCCTCTCATCCATTTATATCCACTCTATTAAATAATCATGATCAGTGCTCGATATCCACAAAAATGAGGTGCCAGAACTATTTAACCTATTTAATGTGATTTGTACCTATTTATTTACCTATTTATGCCAATATATATGTGTCTGAAAGAGTACATGCACTAAGAGCACGGGTACTGTAACTCTGTTCCGCCGCGTTCTCCCACAAATCAAGCACTGATCATGATAGTGTGGGGGTTATGTTTTCAGTAATACATTCCAGTCTCTCTTTATGTTAAAGTTTAAGAAAATGGTTGTTTGTTGTAAGAAAGGCAACGATTTAGGCCTCGGTACACAATGCATGCTTAAATAAAACAGATTTTTAAGCATAGTGTTTTTGTGGTTTTAGCTTCTAATATTTATATGATCAAATACATTGTGATACTTTTAACTTTAAGCTTAGAAATACGATTTTGTAACAGTTTTAAGGATTGATTTTAAAATAAATGGATAGTTTATTACCCGTATTATCTTTGGTGTTTTTTCCAATCCTGTAAATTTGTAAGTTGATGGAATGTGACGAGTGAAGTTGAAAGTGTTTTTTCTCTGACAGGTTTAAAATAACTGATTTTTAATCTCTTATTAATTTGCAAGAACTTGCACTTTTATTTGAACGTGTTGCTAGCCTAGTGCTTAGCGTCTCAGACTTCGATGAGGAAGTAGAGTTTAATTCACAGTACATCCACAATCCATATGGGTTTGGAACGCTTTCCCTAATGGTTTTATTTGGGCCACTTGCGTCCATCAAAAAGAGAAAAGTGAAAGACATATTGATCAGTCATGGCTAAAAGTTAAATTGTTGAGGTCAATGAAAACGGTGGTGAATTCAGGTTAAAGTTATAATCTAAAGCCACAGACGAGTAAATAAGTCTGAGGCTTACTAAATAGAAACTTGTCATTTGCAGAATCAACACAAAATGTAATCTACCTAGAATATTTAGCGAAATATTCTTGCACTCGTCTTGCACCTTAACTCTAGCCTCTGTAATATTAATGTTGTAATCATAATTATAGATGGATGGAAAAACGCTCAGAATTAAAACCCACTTTTTAAGGTTCACCTCAAAACAGATATTCCCACCCAAAACTCAAACTCAAAATTTTTGACATATTACTCTGGATGTGTACAGAGCTAGAGACTACACCTGTGGTCCAATTTCGATGAAATTTGGTATGTAGGTCCTAATCCATGGTATATCCAGGCGTTTTTTCATTTTTTTTTTGTTATTTTGATCCCATAAAAACACAAAAAATCGGGTTTTCTCAAAAATGGCCCGAACGATTTTGGTGAAAATTTAGTATGTTGTAGCCCTTAAAATTTTGAACAGAATGGTACAAATCCCATTTCTGTAAAAATTACGGTTCAAAAGTTCCCTAGTAAATTATGTTATTTTCCCATAAAAACCCCATAAATTAACAAAAAATAGGATTTTAGAACAAAAATCCGGTTTTGATTTAACATAGTATGTTATGGTCCTTACAATTTTGATATAGTTTTTTTCATTTTTTTGAAATTTAGATTTTAATAGGGATTTTCCTATAAAAACCCATAAAATAATGAAAAAATAGGATTCTCCCAAAAATGGCCCGAACGATTTTGATACTTCAAAAGTTATTGTAGATCATGTTATTTTCTCATAAAAACCCCATAAAATAACGTAAAATCGGATTTTTCCAAAAATGGTCGGAACGAAAAAATTTAGCATTATATAGTCATTTAAATTCTGAACAAAATTGTACAAATCCCATTTCCGTATATTAACGCTCACCGCTTACACATGATAAAGGTTGTTGACAAACTTATGGGAGAAAGTATGTGTCAGAATGCTAATACTGTTTATTTAATTATAAAATTAAACTATCATAACCTAACCAAGCCAACCAAACTTGCTGATGATGAAAAATATTCGAGCCAAAAAGTCAACGCCTTCGGTAGGATTTAACCCTTGCCGTCAGACCGCCACCGCCCAGTCGCCCACCTCACCTCCGAGACCTACGGCTGGTAAATGTATCATTGCGATAATGGTGTTCGCTCGCGGGGCTATTGTATTCTATAGCCCGGTTCGCTCGAGCGGTGGTGGGTGGTGGTGGGCGGTGGCGGTCTGACGGCAAGAGTTTAAGCACAGACAATGGAATAAACCATTATATTGTCTGTGGTTGGGTTTAAGTCAGACTCTCAATATCTGTATTATTTATAAGCCAATCATCGGTCTCCGTTAGAGACGCGACTCTCGGCTTTTCAAAAAGTAGCTTGGTTAGAGATCTTACATTTTCTTGTGTTAATATTTAGAGTTGGCCGATCTCGGTAGTCATGTACTAGTTACTCAAAAATCCCTGCGAGTGTCGATGGATACAAATCATTCTTGGTTAATTACCCTGGCTCTAAATCGCAAAATTGTCCGTTGGTTTTTAATTTACAACTTGCAATTTATTTTAATGAATGCTAAATTGTTTTATTGTGCCTGAATAATTTAATAATACAAATAAATAAATAAACTTGTAGGTTCTGTAGTTCAGAGACACCTAGCGGCGACTAGGAGAACAGTCCAGTGGCACGGTGCACGGCCAGCGGTCGTACTTCAAATGCTCACCAGAGTGCAGGTGCTTGTCCTGTGCCCGTGCCGTGGTTCTCTCTCTACATTACCGACCTGGCCTGCCGCCGTATTTTGAGTATCGACATTGACTTTATATCTACGTATCGACTTGGATTAAACGGGAGTATGTTTAATCTATGGTATCTACGTCAACTCCCTCCCCCCTGTACGAGTATATTATGTGTATTTGTCAATTTGTGTGTGAAGGAGAAAGAGAATTTCACGGGGCAGACATCTTGTGTAGAGTTGTACATGGTGAGGCAAAGAGAACGCCACAATTTGTTTTAGCTGTCACATGTTAATTGTTGCAACAACGAATGATCAGCTGTGCTTATAACATCAATTGAACTATGCCATTTTAGTAAATATTATGCCTAAGGCTTTTAACACCGAGATTTTGATGTGGAAACCTATTTTAAAAATAGTGATTCTTGTGCAAAAACCCAGAGATTGTTTAGACAACATTCCATCCTTGGCCAACATGGCGCTGTTCCAGATTGGAAAAGCATTAGTGAACTGGGTAAAATTATTTAGGATAAACGCTTAAACCTTAAAAATAATCGGTGGGTGCCGCAAAACTCTTTGTAGTTTGTACACCAGCAAATGTTGAAAGAGTGCGTGACGCAGTAACTCAAAGTCCAAAGGGATTTGCTAGGAAGCTTTTGTTGTTAAAAGCTTTACGTTGGCTCCTTTTTTGGGAGGGGGGTTGTTCTAATAAGCTAATTGAAGTTAAAGGGTTTTCAAAGTCGCCCTACAGATTTGCTTGAACTGAAGTTAAGAATCGTCCAAAAACTAAAGTGAACCGTGAACCTGAAGAAATGCTGGAGGAGTATTTGATGGAGTTTTCAAGTGCCTTAAAAGGAATGTCAAGTAGGAAAAGGACGTCACTTGCAGGATTTTGTTCTCAAGAAATGGAAAATGACTTTGTTAAGTTAAAATGGCAAAAGATAAGCTGTGATTTGATGTGCTATTTATATCCATAGGGCGAATATTATTGAGTTTGTACTGCTTATAAATTGGGGTGTTTTCAATGCCCCGCCCTGTATAAGGTCTGTTGGCTAAGGTCCCGGTTGATATCGTAGTCTCTGCTCGTTTTTGTACCATTTAGCCAAAATACGTCTAATTCCACATTGTACCTACTTGTAAAATGAAGTATTCTGATTGTGAGACTATAAAGTAGAAGCCTCAAAGAAATATTTAGGGATTGAGTTGGAAATATTATATGGTTTACATAAAAACATGACTTTTGACTGATTTTACGTTTATTTGTATCACTTTCTGACCATTTTTGATTATGATTAGGGGCGATGAATACAAAATACAATTAAGCTAAGGGTTGTCCATTTTTATTAGTCATTATAAGTATTTGTAATATTTTTTTTAAAAATTATATATTTTTACTTATTCATCATTAGTTATTATTGAACCGTTTATTGATCCGGTAAACTAAATTGCGGCACAAATAACTTAAAACTAATCTTAGTTCTGAAATGGTGAATATGTAGCCTATAGTTTGATACATTCAAAACTTATAACGGTTGAATGTATTGTCATAATAGTTGTATTTGTGTTGCGGTACCAGTATTGAAATCGGTTAAGAACAACTTTTTTTATAGATCTAAAATCGAAAAAAAGTAATGTAAATTTATTTTGAGAAAACATCAAAACCTGTTTATTTATTTCATTTCTCTTAAACAACTTTTCTTTGTCAGTTGAATACGTTGGCTTCAAGAACCATTTGACAAAGTGACTCAAATTTAGTGACTCAATATTAATACACACTCATTTACTCTTAGCACATTCTCTCTAAATTTACTCATTTTTATGAGCTACATGGTGCAGAATGTACACTGCGAGTAATGTTTTCTTAGTTTTAACACGCTGTAACTCCTCAACGAGTAGCTTTAGAGAACTATGCCAAGAATAAAAACGTTTTTAAATGGGATTAAATTTCTGAATAAATCATAAAATATAGAGTCTTCCGTAAGAAAAATCACAGTTGGCGGCCATATTAAAACAATGGCGGCTATAATTATTTTTTCAACTTGACCAACATTTTTTAAATAAAAAATCCAAGGCAGTTACAATTTAACATTTTTTGATATCTCTTATAACCTTCGAATAAAACAGCTGGCACACTTATATCAATCACCCTTTATAAGGATTGTGTTTACAATAGGGAGCGATTAATAATTAATTGTGTTTCATTTACTTAAGCTTAAGGTTATCCTATGGAACTGAGTAAAGGGTTAGGCCCGTTAGACCATTCACAATACAAAGTTTAATGCCAAAGCTGCTCTAGCTGCAAAAACTTTTGAATTTTTTTATTGAGAGATAGTTAACGCATACAATGAATCAATTAGGTGCGAAGTTAACATTACCTTATTTTAAAAACAAATTCTATAACAATAACATTAGTCAAAAGTTTAAAATGAGTCTGAATAAACACCATTAACGTTACTACAGGGTGGAAGTAGCTCAAAGATTTTGGAATGAAAAACTTTTTTAACCGCGTTTTAAACGCACTAAAAAGTAGAAAATATTTATAAATATGTTGAGAGAGTAAATACTTGTAAGATTTTAAACGAAAACCGGCGCATGAAATACCTAATTTACGAACACTCCCTCTTTATTATTATCTATTGCATGCGCCCAACTTTTTCGTCAAAAATCTTACACTTATTTATTCTCTCCGCACATTTATAAATTATTTTCTACTTTTTACCTCACTCATTTTCTGACCTCGGCTTCGCCTCGAACGTAAAACTTGACCCCGGGTCAAAAAGAGTCACTTTAGGCCTTAGTGATAAAATATACTATTTCGTCATACTGCAGCAAAACAGTCTTTTTTATGCATGCGTTGC